ACTCATCCATTTGAACATTTGTCAAAGATTTGTATCTCTGAAAGCATTAAAAGAGCTCTTGATTCCTTTGATATTTTTTGAACTCACATTTGCAATTTGATTCAATTGCGAACAATACTTTACAACATTTTTATCATTTCTCTCTCCTGAAACAAGAAAAAGGAGAAAAACGTTTTCAAACAGAACAATCTCAGATATGAAATGTCTGTAAAGCCCAAGTTCGAGAAGCAAATGGGGCACGATCGATTCCATGGACCAGATTGGCAGACAAAGCACGAGACTCCATCCAAGGAATAACACATAATTCTTTCATATTGCATGCATCTTAGACATACTTAGGTGCATCACATTCATCATTTTAGCATACATAATTTTGCAGCTTTCAGAGTCAAGCTTCGACTTCAGGATGAAGGTTACTCGACTTGCAAGCACCTTTAAAGAACGATGGTGTAACTCAGCAGCAAGAAGCTACACCTCAACCGACTTTACATAACTACAGATCTCAGAACCAATTTCAGATGGGTTTGAGAACCAATTCAGATCAAATCTAGTTCGGTTCAAACTCACCAGGAGCAACATGTTTTCAGTTAACACTTTCAAGCCAGATTTCAATTCCACGACGGAAGATATCCGGCTGTCAGAATTTATCAGTAGGTTTTCCCAGACCAGCTTAGGGGAACCACCGGAAGAATCATGACCGTTTTCGACCCGTGAAGGGAAGCCATTTTTAAACAAACTATTTGCAGCTTAGCTCAAGGCCAAAAGGGCTACCTGCCACCAAGACCTTCGAGTTCGACTACGCTCAGCTCCATGGCACATCATTTGCAGAATAGCTTAAGTCGAGAAGGGCTATCTGCCAAAGACCCTTAAGTTCGATTACACTCAGCTTCAAGGGCATAACATTTACAGCATAACTCAAGGCTAGAAGGGTTATCTGTTAGCAAAGACCTTTGAGTTCGACTACGCTCAGCTCCAAGGCACATCATTTGCAGAATAGCTTAAGTCGAGAAGGGCTATCTGCCAAAGACCCTTAAGTTCGATTACACTCAGCTTCAAGGGCATAACATTTACAGCATAACTCAAGGCTAGAAGGGTTATCTGTTAGCAAAGACCTTTGAGTTCGACTACGCTCAGCTCCAAGGCACATCATTTGTAGAATAGCTTAAGTCAAGAAGGGCTATCTGCCGAAGACCCTTAAGTTCGATTACACTCAGCTTCAAGGGCATAACATTTACAGCATAACTCAAGGCTAGAAGGGTTATCTGTTAGCAAAGACCTTTGAGTTCGACTACGCTCAGCTCCAAGGCACATCATTTGCAGAATAGCTTAAGTCGAGAAGGGCTATCTGCCAAAGACCCTTAAGTTCGATTACACTCAGCTTCAAGGGCATAACATTTACAGCATAACTCAAGGCTAGAAGGGTTATCTGTTAGCAAAGACCTTTGAGTTCGACTACGCTCAGCTCCAAGGCACATCATTTGTAGAATAGCTTAAGTCAAGAAGGGCTATCTGCCGAAGACCCTTAAGTTCGATTACACTCAGCTTCAAGGGCATAACATTTACAGCATAACTCAAGGCTAGAAGGGTTATCTGTTAGCAAAGACCTTTGAGTTCGACTACGCTCAGCTCCAAGGCACATCATTTGCAGAATAGCTTAAGTCAAGAAGGGCTATCTGCCAAAGACCCCCGAGTTCGACTACGCTCAGCTCCAAGGCACATCATTTGCAGCATAGCCTAAGTCGAGAAGGGCTATCTGCCAAAGACCTTCGAGTTCGATTACACTCAGCTTCGAGGGCACATCATTTGCAGCACAACTTAAGTCTAGAAGGGTTGTCTGCCAACAAAAGACCTTTGAGTTCGATTACACTCAGCTTCGAGGGCACATCATTTGCAGCACAACTTAAGTCTAGAAGGGTTGTCTGCCAACAAAAGACCTTTGAGTTCGATTACACTCAGCTCCAAGGCACATCATTTACAGCATAGCTTAAGTCGAGAAGGGCTATCTGCCAAAGACCCCCGAGTTCGATTACACTCAACTTCGAGGTCATATCATTTACAACATAGCTCAAGGCAAGAAGGGCTATTTGTCGATAAAATTGTCGAGTTCGACTCTATTCAGCTCAACGATACCTCAATCACACTACTGTCCGGCTGCAATCAAGGTTTTCAAAGTCAAGAAGAACACCTGGGTTAACCGTGCCTTAGTGACAAAAAAAAATCGCTTTCCGACAGCATAGCTTAAGTCGAGAAAAGCCATCTGTCGACAAAGACCTTTCGAGTTCGATTTCGTTCAGCTCGAGAGACTATCTACCACATGATTTGGTCAATGAATTGCTTCCCATTCGAATTTTTAGCCAAGATCTTTAAACCAAGAAGATAACCAAGGTTGACTATGTTTGGGCAACGAGAAGTCGCATCTCGATTTAAATTTCGAACTACGGTTTCAATTCCATATCATTTCAAGATAGACTGGACTTCACAACGGAGGAGCCATCTACGACCTAAGTCGACAGGGAGTTATTCTTCAACTCCACTGAACGAAAATTTGTGTCTTTTTATCTTTGTCTTATTTTTCGTTCCATAAAAAAGGACAAAGAGGGGCAGCTGTAGACACACATTTTTCATCCATAATCATTTTATTATAAAATATATTATATATAATATATGATTGATTATATTATATACTAATTTATTTATTATTTTATTTACAGGATCAGGCCTTAGGCCCAAATACGAATAAAAAATACAACCTAACAGTGCACCCCGACCCTATAACCCGATTTAGATTAGGGTTGGTTGGAAACCCTAGCCCCATCTGCTCACCAGCGCCGCATGGAGTCATCACCCATGGCCGAGAGTCTCACGCCTCACGCCTTCCTCTCCGTGTTTCACGGCCGCACGTCACTCTCCTCCAACAGTCCCGCAACCCCCGGCGCACGCACAAACAACAAGCATCAGTGTTATACTCGGAATCAAACGCTCAATATAGCCTAAAAATAGGATTTTTTTACTTATAAATTGATGTAAACTGAGCACAAACGGGGGAGGCGAAAGAAACACGATTACACACACAAAGCCACAAAAAAATCACACGAAACACTTAGAGAGATATACGAGCAATCAAGGCATTTGTAAAGTGTTTTTCGAAAAGGAAATAAAAGAAAGAGTCATTCGAAGGAAAAACACAGAAGCAATTCGGGAGAGCAAACCGAAGCAAAAATCCAGGAGAGAAATCGAGGGAGAAAAGGAAAAGAAACAGAGAAAGAATCTGACAGCAAGAATAAAAAAGGAGACTATTTTCTGAAGGTATTTTCTCCTTTGTTTATGTCTAACGTAAAAAAAAAAATAAATGGGATTTCAAGTTTACTTACACTGTTCGACGAGATTCGGTGGCAAGGAGAGCCTTGGTGCTCCATTTCCTGTGCATTTGAGCCCCCGATGATGAATCCAAGAGGATCCCAGAAGATGGGTTTTACTAGAGAACACTCTCTCTGTTTGGTAAATATGGCGTTGAAGTCAAATATGGTTCAAGAACCCTATGTTTCAATTTTCAAATACCTTGATTTTATTATTTTTAATGTAAAAGAAGGCCAAAAGGGAACACGTGGGATTCACTTTTCTCATTCCTCTCTTTCTTTTCTTTTAAAATAGAAATTCTTTAATCTTATATTTACTTCCAGTTTTGTTTAGTTTTTAGTATTATATATTTTTATAATATGGTAATTAAATTCCATTTTTTTAAGTTTTATTCGATAAACGTGAACATTTGGCAACATCATTTTCAATGAAAAATTCATGGGCTTGGGTTATAGGTCATTTTTCTGAAAATGATTCTATCCTTTGTAATATTTCATTTTAACCATTGAATGTTGATTTGTTTTCGTTCGAGTACTGATATTTTAATATTTTTAATTTAGTCATGTTATTGTACAGTGAGTTATCATTGTTAATTTTTGAATTTGGTTATAATGTTTTCAATTATTTTATTTTGGTCACTGTTTTACGTTTAGTTTAATTATCATTGAGTCCCCCACATTTCTTGTTTTTTTCTCATTCTTTTTCACTTTTTTTCATTTTCATTTGTGTTAATTTATTTTATTACTACATTTTTTTTTCTTTGAAATTTAACATTTTTTAGAATCTAACCTTTTGTTATTATTATTTTTTTATATTTTTTTATCTATTTTCTTTAATTATATTATTATTATTATTATACTAATATTTTTTCACCTTTTGTTATTATTATTTTTTTTTATATTTTTTTTATCTATTTTCTTTAATTATATTATTATTATTATACTAATATTTTTCCTTTCTTTTTTATACTTTTTCCATTTATTTTATCTAACATATTTTTTAGTAGTAATTCCAATCGATCAAAGGTAAGTAATTCGAACCGAATTTTTAAATTTCAATTTAAATTTTCAATTTTCGCAATTAAAGACAACCGACAAATTAATTGGTACCGAAAGGGCGGTTCAAGGGTGCTAATCTTTCCTTGACCGTAACCGACTCCCGAACCCGACATATTTCTGGTAAGACGCAGACCAGGTAAGAACTAGGGTATCCGATCAACCCATTTGTTTTAAATAAATGATCGGTGGCGACTCCAATCCATTTACCTAAGTCGAAGCCCAATTCCGGGGGCGCAACCGAAAGACGGTTGCGACAGTATTGTATATGGTTATAAAATCTATTTAAATTGGAACCAAATAATATCATAATATTATAAATATTTACAATTAAATTTAAATAGAAATTCAAAAATTTGACTCAAATTTTATAAATTCAACCCGACTCGAAAATTTTCTAGTCAACTTTGAATTATAAAATAAGACTCGTTAATTCAAATAACTCGAAAATTTTTAATTCGATTCGATCAAACTCTCATCCCTAATACCAACCAGCATTACCATTCATTCAACCAAATTCCTCGGTGGACATTCCACACCCACTTATTGAATCCGATGCCAAAAGTTTTGGTTGCAATTCATCCAAAATGCATACAACTTTTTCTCTTAAATTATAAGATTTAACCAAGCAAAGAAATTGTGGAGAAAACAATGGCGTTGTTGAAATTTCTATTCCCACCGTCTCTGTTCGTCACTGCAACGTCTCTAGCATCTTTCACGGCACTGGCGAGTGCTGGGTTATCGGAATTTAGAGGCAAAAATGCTGAATATTCCAAGTTTTTCAACATCCGTTCAAATGCTTCCGATTCAGAAAAATCGAGCAAGTTTACACTTCCGAGTAGAATCGCCATGGCCACGCTTTATACACCCGCTTTTCTTGCTGGGATTTCTTCGTTTGCGATTTTCCCAGAAGAGAATCTCAGGTTTTTGTTGCTCAAATCCGCCATTTCCATCCATTTCTTCAAACGAGTTCTCGAGGTACGTAATTTAAGTCTCTTTTATAATTCATAAATCAAGCTCGAAGAACAACGAAACTTGAATTACGTTTCTTTTTATGGTAAAGTACATAAATATCTTGATTACAAAACTTTGTTTTAACGAGTTTTCGACTATTGAAAATCATAAAATGATCTCCTAGTTATATAATATTGTTAGTTGAATCTCTAATTATTAAAAGATAAAATTGTCACTTAATTTATATTTTAAATTCGTGTTGTTGATTGAAATATGATAAAATCCGATTTTATAATCATTTGAGTAGTATTTTGTAGATCTATTCGCCATTTACATTATGTCGTATAGTCGTTACTTAAAATATTATGACATTGAATCATTACTTGAAACTAATGATAGTGTCAGTAAATATGCTTAAAATATCATTAGAACGTGATTCTATTATGGCTTAAATAGTAAGTTAATGTTCATTTTAGATGACCGTCAATATTTTAATGTAAAAGAACGATTTTGAAATACATAAATAGTCAAATGACTATTTTATAATTTATAATAATTGAAAGACTAAACAAAATATCATCTTATAGTAAAAAAATTATTTTATAACTCTTAATAGTCGAAAACTCAATAAAATAATTCTATATAGCCAATACTATTTGTGTATATTTTTTTTCTCCTTGCAGTCGTGTTTTGTTCATAAATACAGTGGTGAAATGGGCATCGACACAATGATTATAATACTCTCAAGCTATTTCATTTCCACTGCACTCATGATCTTTAACCAACACTTAACGATCGGACTACCGGAGCCTGCAATTGATTTGAAAACCCCAGGGATCCTTTTGTTTTTCCTGGGAATCTCTGGCAATTTCTACCATCATCTTCTTCTCTCCAAACTGAGAACCGAAGGTCCCAACAAGGAATATAAGATTCCAAAGGGGGGTTTGTTTGGAGTTGTGGTTTTCCCTCACTACTTGTTTGAGGTTTTAATTTTCTGGGGATTTGCTTTCATTTCACAGACTTTGTTTTCATTTGCATATGCCATGGCAACTACTTGTTACTTGCTGGGTAGAAGTTATGCATCCAGGAGATGGTACCTTTCAAAGTTTAAAGATTTTCCCAGGAATGTTAAGTCCATGATTCCATTTTTGTTTTAATTCTGTAGGTTGAGGAATGTTGTTTATGTATCTGAAGTTATATCCAGTCCTCAGCCTTTGAGTAGGGATGAAGAAGATGATGCTATAATTATTATTGGACATACATTCGAATATTTGTCGTCAAATGCCGAATCGTTTTAATTTTTATATATAATAGATTTGCTTTTGAAACGAATATAGCTGGATTCATAGCATTAAAATAATCCTTACAAAATTAAAGGATTAGTTCAAGTAATAAGCAATTTGATATCATTTAAGTAGATATTGAATTTGAGTTTTAGCTTTAGTGTATACAAAAAATATTTATTAAAAGATTCATCTATTAAAGTCAAGTGTGCGGTATGAATTGGTTTGAATTAATCAAGATAAAACCTTTAGAAACAGGGAGGGTAACCAAAAATAATAGTCCTTATAAAATAAATGAAAATATGGGATAAACCATAAAAAATAGAACGATTAACAACAGGATTGATGGGTTTTTTTTTTTTTAATATTTGTATATTTTTACTTATTAAAATTTTAAAAAATATGTTTCAGTTATCTACCTTATCGATTCTTATATTTTGGTTAATTATATTATCAATTATTATATTTTGATCATTGATCAGTTAATTTATAACTCCCTAAACGCGACCTAGACGTTACAATCAATTCTCAGAAGTCTCGCTTTTAGAAATTCATAATTACGTAGTCTTTATGAATTATAGAATAAATAATAATAATAATAATAATAATAATAATAAATTTATATATTTGTAAATTAGTGCATGCCAAAACATAATCCAAAATACCCACATATATAATGTCCAAATACATAACCAAACATCAAATGTGATAAAAGTGTAAAACATGAAAACAATCTGAAAATAATCATACCATGTATAATAATATAATATCACTATTCGATCCTCTAAGTATTAGAACGACCCTATCAATCACGAGAAAATGAAAAGAGAAAAGAACTAAAGGATGAGCTATAAAGCTCATTGTGTCCTCTAAGTGTAGGTCAATCATTAAGAACCAAACAACAACATTTAAAAACATCACACAATATTCAACACAATAGTCGTATAATATTTATGAAATGTCACACACATGTGAATGCTATGTAATACAACTCAATTAACTCTACCATATCACCATGCATTTATTGGGATTATCAAGGAATGAACTAGTTGGTAATTGGATTTATAAGAATTTGTACATGGTCCCGAAAACCCTCCCACTGTCCTGGTGGTATTTATACCTAGGTTTGGGGTTAAAGGATTGGCTAATCACCAATAATTCCCCAAACCTCTCAAGGTTTAGGAAAAAAATTTAAAATTCTCCTCAAAATTTATTTTGGTCCTCAAACTTTGCAAGACATAAAATAATCCTAAATTCGGGTTGTGACATAGTTCATACTAGTTTAATGACATGAAATAGTTAAAAGGAGTTAAGTTTTAATTTGGAACAGAAATCCTCTGCCCCTATTTATGCTTCTGTTTGCGCACCACCAATATTTTATTTACACGTGTCATTTTTGTTTTTCATGGCAAAACTCATGCAATCTTCTAAAAAAGATTTGCTTTCTTATTTTATTTCATCTTCTACCTTCAATCCCATTAAGTAAAATTCTGGATCCCCCACATAGTGAGAAGCATGGTCTGCTTTGTTAATGAAAAGAACATCCACCTTGACATAATATGGATATTGAACCCAACCAATTAAGAACTAATCAAACACCTCAAAGGTTCTGTACTTCGCTTTAACTCCCAAAAAAACCATCCCCATAACCAACATTTTAAGTTTAAACTCCAAACTCAAACATCCAACCAAGCTCCCTCCTTTGTTCATTTTCTCTTCTTTTATTCTGCCATTGACAGTGTTCTCTTAATGTCAAGGTGGGATTCTCTTAATCATTTTTTCCCTCAAGTAATAAACTCATGGGACTTCCATGCGGCATGCCTTCTACTTAACCGTCTTCACAATCCCTTTCCTTTCTCTTAGAGATGTTATTTTGTGTATTCTTCTTAGTTGGTTGCTTAGTTGTATTTTGGGTTTTCTTTGCATTTGCTGTATTCGTGATAATTACAGAAAGTGAATCAGCTCCGTGCGTTGTTGCCTGAATCCTTGCAGCGGGAATGAGATCCCCATGTCCTTGGGATTGAAGATAGAAGGTGAAATAAAATAAGAAAGTAAATCTTTCTTAGAAGATTGTATGAATTTTACCATGAAAAACAAAAATGAAATGTGTAAAGAAAATATTGGTGGGGCACAAACAGCGGCATAAATAGGGGCAGAGGATTTCTGTTCTTTAATTTGACCCTAAACTTTAGATAGAATACCAATTTGATCTATAACTTTAAATAAAATATCATTTTGAACCTTAACTTTGGATAAAATATCAATTTAACTCTTAAATTTGATCAAAATTTAGCTTAGAGACTTCCTTTAAAATTACATCACAATAATAAATTTATCATTAACATTCCTTTAAAAATAAGTATACCAACACTTAAATCTATATCATAATTAAATCCATGAAGTTTTTGTTTATAGTTTTTCTTATGTTTATAATATTAATTATAAATTTTTAATATTTATAAATTATAATATTATTTTATAACTTTGTTGAGTTCCGGATATTTTTCGATGAAATATATATTGTATTCACGTTTATGAGGTCAAAAGGATGAACTAGAAATTCTGGGATCTAATAGTCAGTGAAAATGACAGTTGATGCCAATCGATGATGATCGGCGATGACAATGGTGAGAGGTGGTTGGTGATGAGAGACTTTGGTTGAATTCAGGAGTTAAATTGAAATTGTATCTAAAGTTTAGGGGTCAAAAATGATATTTCATCTAGAGTTCACGGGTCGTATAAAAAATTAAACCTTTTTAACTAATGTGTCACATCATCACTAAACTAACGAAAATTAATGACTCGTTGATCAAAATATAACAATCGACAACATAAATTATTGAAGTTTAATAAATCAATAATTTAAGTGACCGAAATATAACTGCTTTTAAATTGAATGAAAGTGTACATATATGAAAAAAAGTATCCAATTCGATAATTTACCCTCAAAAAAGGTAAAACGTATGTAGTGAAATAAATGTTTGTTGTCCTACGGAACTCCATCGTTGCTGTCAAACATGGTTTGCTCAAGGATGACACTTTTTTAACATATATGTTTGTTGGTCGTTGATTAATCAGTACAAATTTTGCAATGGTCGCATCATCTAATTTGAAGTCACCGTCAAGTTTGATTTGGACTAGAGTCTCATCTAAAGGTGCTCATCGCTCAACCCTGTCCACCAACCCTCAACCAAGTAAAGGCCTGACACTGTCTAAAAACAACTAAAACAGAAAAATCTAAAGAAAAAACACACTATAAACAAAAACAAAACTGTTGATGGAAGAAGCATTCCCTTAGACTTCTCCACCCTTTTTTTCTAGAGTTGCTTTCAATCCTAACATAGTGTTGGACAATACTTTAATGAGTTTATTTATTTGAGAATACTTTCAGTAAGATATCCTCTATCTCAATCTATAAAATGCAGTACGCAGTAAATAGGAAGAAGCAAACTCTTTGTAATATATCCCAAAATACAAGATGTTTAGATAGAAAAGAAAGTAGGAAATCAATTGGCTTCAAACCCATATTATGCCTAATAAATCAGTTATTCAAATGGTAAGACGGAAATTTCTTTCATTTTTCATTCCCCCCCCCCCCTATTTCATGGAGGACTAAGGATCTCCAATCTCTCACTTGGCACTGGCAAGTTGGAGGCGGAGCAGCTTGGCCGCAGCAACCATATTGTTGAGGGCCGGTTTCACCTCAGCATACTTGCGAGTCTTAAGCCCACAGTCGGGGTTAACCCACAAGATGTTGCTCTCGAGCACAGCGAGCATCTTGTTAATCCTGTCTGCAATCTCTTCGGTTGATGGTATTCTGGGAGAGTGGATATCATAGACACCAGGGCCGATTCCAGCACCGTACTTGACTCCTTCACGGAAGACCGATAGGAGCTTCTCGTCGGAACGAGAGTTCTCGATGGTGATCACATCAGCATCCATGTCAATAATTGAGTGGATGATATCATTGAAGTTGGAATAACACATGTGGGTGTGAATCTGTAGCAAGATTTTTTAAATGCAATACCAATGAGAATTATGGTGATCTGAGAGAGTTCATGTATAAGGAAGTTATGAGAGGCAAGAAGAAATAAGCAAGATAAAACCTGGGTGGTATCCTTGACGCCGACGTTAGTGATCCTAAAGGAGTGGACAGCCCATTTGAGGTAGAAGGCGTGCTCGGATTTCCTAAGGGGCAATCCCTCTCGCAATGCAGCCTCGTCGATTTGAATTACATTGATACCAGCCTTCTCAAGATCCTCGACTTCGTCCTTGATAGCCAAGGCAATCTGGTAGCAAGTTTCGAATCTGGAAAATTTGGCAATTGTGGAATGTCAAAATATTTTCATGTTGCAAAGCAAAATCCGCAGATAGAAGTGCAGAATTTCACATCATACCTGGGCTGATCATTTCGGACAAATGACCAGTTGAGGATGGTAACAGGGCCGGTAAGCATTCCCTTCATTGGGCGTTTAGTCATGCTTTGGGCAGCTGATGACCAGAAAACAGTCATTGGTTTGGGGCGGCTAACATCACCGTAGATGATTGGTGGCTTGACACAGCGAGATCCATATGATTGCACCCACCCATTAACAGTGAAAGCAAAACCAGACAACTGTTCACCAAAGTACTCAACCATATCGTTTCTCTGCACCATTTACTGCAACATTAGGGTTCTTGCAGAGTACTATCCATAGATGTATCTCCCAATTACTGGAAATGGCCAAAGCAAAGCAGAATACTCACCTCAGGTTCTCCATGAACAAGGACATCAATGTCAAGTTCTTCCTGAAGTTCGACAACCTTCTTAATTTCCTCCTTGATGGCTTTTACATAATCGTCCTCGGAGATCCTAAAGGGAATGAGACAGTAATAATTAAAAGAATGGTGATATTGACATATAAGAAATATAAGGGAAAAAATCAGGATCAACTCACTTGTTAGCCTTGAATTCACGACGTACT